AAGCCGTGGATGAAAAATCTTACCGGTTTCAGGATATAGATGCAAGGTGATAGCTCTTTTCGCATGGCGAACTTCAGTTTCCTAAGATCCTTTGGAAGGACGTATGTTTCAGGCAAAAAATTGAACACGTCATTGCCGTACTTGGCTCTGAACCTTGAGAAATTTCTCCAAAGATGGTCTTTTCGGCCGATTTGGAAATTGCCCGGGAAATGATTCACCTAATCGAAAAATAATCACGGATCACCGAACAACTGCGCTTAAGATCACCAGTGGCTTAGATTTAGTTATAAACCTTTTGATATGGAAATATGTCCTTCATGTCAGAAGTGCTGAGGTGGCGTCCCCAGTAGCCTATCCAGTGCGCCGTCTCTGAAAAGAAATTTCATAAAAACTTAGCATTAAAAAACAAAATATTCAGTCATTCACATTTTCAGTTTTACTTGTGGTAGCAGTTTAAGAAGGATACGGTTCCATCGCAGTTGAACACTAGCAGCGATAAAGATGTACAGACTGGTACTTTGAGCTGGGCTCAACAAAAGCGCATTAAAGCACTGCCTGCTTTAGCGATGATCCGTAGGCAAATATATAAACACAAGATGACTCTGATGTTCTGGGGTAGATATTACAAATGCCAGCGTTTCACTTCTATCAGTAAAGATATTCATCCACCTGACAAGATTACAGATTTACGACAGATTTACTCTGCGAAGACGCACCATTTTCTTGACTCTATAGACGTGCAGAGGAACCACTTAGGCAGATCCTCGCTCAATCGTAACTGCCTGAGCTGCATAGGATGCATAGATCTACATAGGATTCTGAGATAAACCAAACAAAGGAGTACTGTAGTAGCAATTAAGCTGCTGTGATCCGCAAGTAAATATAGGCAAAACAGAATAACATAAAATAACATCCGATTATCATTTTAAGTGCCTTTTCTGTCGAACTGATATATTTTGAAATAAAAAACTGAACATATTCCAAATGGGCGTAACGTACCTTTATAGAAACCGCTTCAGGAACCTACTATTACATAACTGCATTTTTCAAAAATATATGATCAGGTCTTGGAAACGGAAACAACTATCACAGGAATATCATCTTACAAATTAAGCGCGGTGGTTTATATTTCTCCCATTGCCAGAGGCTCGTCCTTCACCCGAAAACAATTGGTTAACTCAAGGATGGAAACTGAAACCTCAATGTTCTTTTAGTGGTTGTCGATCAGCTACTTCACGATGCACGGAACGTTTTCACTTTTCACAACATTCCAAAGGACCGTGTATCGTATTTCATCAAACTGATGTCTTGGCTCAAAAACTTTTCAACCTAACTGAACACAGCCGTACCGGTAAATGCACAAACCTTTACATCTCAGGCTGGTCAACGACGTCTGACGTCAAAGTGTCAAGATATATTCGGACCAGAGGTCAAACACCGCTTTCAACTGGAAGAAAAATGATCATCCCATTCGCAGACATAAAAGACATGATCGTAAACCATTTGGGCAAGGCATCTATGACTGGATGTTATGCTCAACTGAATAATATTGTTCTACGCTAAGGTAATGTGAAATGCCACAAAGCAAGCACATCGGTTGCTCACAATGGAACAATCATCCGCAAGATGGTTAAATGTGGAATTTCCAGGCAGTCTTCCAAACAGCTAGTCATGGACAATGTAGCGGCAATGCTAAAGAATGCGCCAATCCACTCACTGGAGAGGTCAAAGGTAAAATACCGCAACACATAGTAAACGCATCGTGACATAACGATGATTCAGAGAAAATGCAGTGGACCCCATCGTCTGTGGATACGAGCTGTAGGTGTTGATGAATAATGGATTTTACTGCATGTTCTGATAATCTATTTCTTCGAACCATGAATTAAGAAAGAGACCTAGTAATTAAATGATACTTCACTACTACACTAGCACTGATAAGTGTCAACGTTCGTTAGAGCACTGAATCAGAAGTCGAAAGTTTGCGGGTTCGAGTGGCATCTTCTATTGTCATTCCGAGGTCAAAAAATTATTAATCAGCATCATTCAGCGAGAAGGAAGAGGAATCTTCATAAACATAGCAGTATTGACTAATGGGATAAAAAAGGAAAGTTTGTTATCGTTGCAATATCGATCTTCTTTGTAATTTAATGATGGAACCATTCTGGCGCCCTTCTTTTAATGAAGTTGATGGTGCGAAACTGTTCTCTGTATCTATGCAATCAGGTGGAACTTCCTCATTTTAAAGGCAAAGTCGATAGCAGCTATGTGGCTAGCATAGTGCAGTCTTTTGTTTCCTTCCCACATAGTAGCACTCATTTATCTACTTCAGAGGAAGAAAGGCGAGTGACCCCGCCCAGGTATCGAACCTGGGGCCTTACGCTTCTGAGTTCGACGCTCTGACGACTGAGCAACTTCGGTACAGTAATGAATCGTAGTAAAGAGAACATTAACGCCACACTACCAGCTTCACGAAAGAAGGAATCCAAAACAAAGCCACTGATAGAAGTGGGTCAACATGCCAACGTTACAATATTATTTTTTCTACTAAACTGCTCAGAGTTGCTGTTGCTAATAACCTCTGACTGTATCGCAAAGAGTACTTGCTAAAACTTGCCTTGGACAATCCGAAAGTGATTATCGATCAGTATCCGCTTCATAATTCTTGGCAAAATACGACTATTGCACCACTTCAGGGCATTGCACACCTCGCGATCCGGCTTCGACACTAAAAATCGAGTCAGTGTAATGAACGACGTAAAAAATAACTGCATGCATACTTTATAAAATTCAACGGAAAGAGGGATGGACAAACAGACAGACTTACTGACTCTGAGAATGATATCAAAACCATTACTGTCTAAGTTATCGACCACGTAGGCTAGGATAGACGGCCTGACTTTCGAACTGACAAACAGTCTCAATGTCCATCTGCTCATCTTCTGTTCGTGTGAATTATCGAAACGCAAAAGTTAAAAGATTTAATATCTTCTTCACGGCCGAACTGGGGTACTTACGTATGAATTGGATAAATTTAATGCTTGATTTTAAAACTTACCTTTATCCGGCGGAAATGGGAAGTAAACGGTCGGCGGTACATTAGAAAAACGACTAGAGTGAAAAAACGGAACTCCCTCGCCATCGCCATTCCTAAGCTTTTCATTAAGCCCGTTTCTTCCTGCATCGCAGCCAGAGGACCTAAACCAACTGTGAATTACTAGGCTGCGAAAGGTACTGGCATCAAATGCACAAAAACAAACACATACGCAATTAAAGACGTTAGTCAGGTTGGGTCATGAACAACATATGAATACACCCAAGCATACGAGCGAGGGATATGCAACTGTCATAATCGAGCCGACTGCATTAAAGCAGTGTATGCTCTACCGCTAGAATGGAAAAGGAAATCATAATTATTAAGTAAATTTAAGTAAATAGGGATATTGCAAATAAACGTTCTATTGCAATGATATCCTTAGTCTATATTATACCAGAAACAGGTATGGCAATAATATAATTTACCCTATTTTTACGTTACTAGCGTTCATAGTAGCAGACTACAGCACATGTGTATATGAATCGCGTACTCATAGCTGAACGGTGGAAGACAATAAAAAACCTGGAAACACTTGGTTGAAACAGACCTGCCTGCAGCGATAAATGAGCTATCCGCAGCTGTGAGAGTTATTAAATATTAAGTACCATTTCTAAGTCAGACATCGTAAATCTGGTTTATTTCGCTGTTTAACCCATACTAGCCAAAGATATAAAGAAAAAACTACAAGAACAGAATATAGTAAGGGTGAAGCAAAGTAACGAATATTATGCAATATCGACACAAACTAGAAGTGCAGCATGATAAACATAAGCATAGCTATAATATTAACTAAAATTTCAGTGTGCCTAGCTGCTGACCATTTTGTAAGACCCCGCGTTGTGGATAAGGGAACGACCTCCAGATATGCAGATTAGCTGAGACAAATAAGCATTCGTGAACATGCAGCAGTGAGACCACCAGGGCATGGCTGAGTTCTAGCTCGACAAGTTCGTTAAAACAAGTTACAATGCCCAATGACAGTATGATGATTAGGCAAAAAGATTCGCCCTTCTGAAGAAAATACGCAGCGAGTTTCACCGCTGCCACGCGGTTAGACGTCGGTTCAACGGCTAAAAGAGACCACTTTTAAAACAGAGAGAATTTGGGGGACCCTTCTGTAAGAATTCTGCAGGTCGCCGTCAGCCCTGCCAGCAGGTGGCAAAACTTCATGCGCTATTACAACGGAAAGTTTTGCGGCAGGTGCGACAGGTCGCCTATCACCTTCCAATCTCAAAGTGATTCATGGGATAGCGTTATAATTATAATTCCGTTTAAAAGTATCGAATACAGTACACAACGTTTTCAAGAGGAAGACATCCTTTCAATATGCTGTCAGTTTCAAGGTCGTTTACATGAACACGATATACATGATCTACTGCAATGACTATGCCCTCTAGTCTTATGGCAATGTCAAAAGAGGACAAGACAAAAATGCTGGAACATCTGGCAATTCTGAGAGTGGAGCACGGTGGGGCATCGTTTTGTATGCTTCATTCGGTTCTGTCGATAATGAATGGCCAAATATCTCTATGGCAATTCAATAATTATTACACATCTTAGCTAACAAAAGCCAACTGTGTATGCAGTGAACGTTCAGTACGGGTGACAGCTTCAGCTTCACCGATAAATCTGCTCCCTAGGATTAGAAGAATAGTCAGTTCTGTCATTCAAATCTAACATTTGTTTGTCAAAATGCAATGTCATTTCGATTACAAAAATATAGTACTGTAATATTGTATATAGTCAGTTTGGCTGAAAGTCAGTTCAAAATACGGCTGGTTTGCATAACATACTCTTCTTCAAATTATCTCGGCGTAATCACATCATCCTTGTGCTCAGAGCAGGTTCAAAAACCCTTTTAGCAGACCACAGCAACACGTTGTTACAGCATCTGCAGTGCATATATGCCAAAACGGCAACAGATAGCATATGATATGTCCATTCTATAATATACCACAAATACCCACAGTAATGTAATGCACACCGTTGCAGAGAATTTCTTAAAATTTCCCACCGTATCCACCAGTGATTCCAAATTATGAAGTTAGTATATTTATTACAACAACGTATATATAGGGTGACACTACAAACTTTATTATACTCCAGATCGTAATATTTCCAAGTTATTGAGATATTATGTAAAACTTACTTTAACATGATCTTGACGTTTGAAATCGAGCTATATACGTCTTCAAGAAATGCTGTATAACAACATATGCAACAAAGCCAATAATCAACTTTTATATTTTCAGCCATATAATGTCTCATGAAGAAGGATCTAGCTCGATTCCCAACATCAAGATTATGGAAAACTACGTTTTAGATAATATCTCAATAAATTAAAGTTTTATTACGGCCAGAAATACTACTAATAAAGTTTGTACTGCGGCTTATGCCAAAGAAAATTTTAGAAGTTAATATTCAGTGAGAACTTCGCGATGACGAATTCTGCACCATCATAGCGAATTCAAGTAATTTCTTTAACATGACATATTATTTAATTCTATTTTTGTTCAGGAATATACGAATTTTTCCAAGGGTTAATTGCGCTCATTAGCAGGAACTAGTAACATTTTTGTCAAGAATGGAACCATCGAATACCTGTAGAATGCTGTTCGAACGTGCATACATGAGTAAGTAGATTGCGTGGTAGAAAGAACAGTGTTGAGGGTGAAATTTGTCGCTAAGTGGATGAAGTTAAATGCTGCTTTGAAAGGGCAAAAACTTCAGGGGTCTGAAGAGCCTTACGAGGCTTTCTCAAGAAACTCTAAAAGAACTTAACAAAATAAAGCGAATATTAATAATTTCTGAAATTCTTTTTATACTGTGGCCTGTATGTAGAAAAAATTTTTCATGTGTTGTATTTGAAAATTTACTATTTATGCAAGCGACGGATGTCAACCCTCAACTCCCCTCATTATGAGTGCTCTCCTCATGGCAACTTCCACTAAATTCTCAGATGCACCGTAACAGACTAACGACTCTTTCATTCTATTAATGCTGCTTCTACTCGTCGGAACAGCTTGTAGACGAAATGCGTCGACTTGTGACCAGGTGCTGCATTACTTCATTTAATGTAAAGCGCATGAGAAACCTTCAAGCACTACACGATTCCAGTAGAAATTTTTTTCCTTGCACGCATTCTGCCACTTTATGCATATGCACCAGGTATCTTTCCAGGTCTGCTGACATGCAACTTCAAGGCCATAAGTCGATCACAGACACAAGTCCCTAGAATAAGCGGTCTTTCACACATGGACCCAGTGAGTCAAGTCGTTGATTTGGTGGTATATCATGGTACTAGCATGAGAAAAATAAGAACATTCTAGATAACAGCATTCGTCGATTGTATGACAGTGTCGCAATATCTATGTATCGCCTGCCTGGTATCAGAATTTACACGGCGTAGCACCCGTCCGATCACTTCTAATAGTCTAAGGGACCGCTTAATGAGACCATGACTTCATGGTATTTTAGAGCTTGAAGCGCATAGGCACAAATCTGCACCGCTCTGCTTGGCGGAACAACGAGCTGTTCGAACACCAACGGATATAACCTGATCCGTCGGCACATCCAGTTTTTGTCCCAAAACAGAACTGCATTGATGATCAACAACCCCGGTCTCAGCGTATGTTCTACGCAGTCCCACTTATGTTGAGCAACAATATTTGAATTTACTCAATGTAACAATTTCTTCCAGTTAGTCTTAATTAATTTCGCTTCAAGGTTCAGAACTGGTTTCATCGGCGGTTCGATTGTTCACAGATTCCTTTTCTTAGCTCTAAGCGTGGAAGCGCAATTTTGTTTTGACATATGTAAACTGATTTCATAATGTTTCTACTTTCTTCTGATGAAAAATGAAATTTTCTGGTGATCTCATTCAAGTCGTAAACTTTTATAATTCATCTATTTTACTTGCTGTTTCTCATATAATGCATCTGCAAGAAAAGTCTTCATTACATTATATGGAACTTCGACCTATTCTGATCGATGCCGAAAATTTTTCTTATATAGGCCGCTTTTTCAAAATAATAGCTTTTTAAAACAATAATTAAATAACGAAATAATTAAATAACGAACATAAATAGAGGGGTACATCGATTCGAAAGAAAAAAATGCTCGCTGGGAAGTTAACCTGTCATTTCCGCTATCTGAAGACCCCGCGCAGGCAGGAGGACAATTTTCCTTTTCGGTGTCCGTCTCGCTTTCCGTGTCCGCGATCACCGTTTGACCCAATTGGGCTACCATTTCAAGTCCAACGGATCGACAACAGTTCATTCTAAAGGCATAAGCTGACGTAAGTTAGGTCAAGGTTACGTTTGAAAGTTACCAGACATGTGCTAAAGCTGACCGGCGAACGTACGTGGTGTCCTGAGGAAACAAGTCCGAAAATGACACCAACCAAATACCGTTCAAGAGCGAAGCCAGTGACGGCTCTGCACGCGTTTATTTAGTTCAATTCTCGTTCACGAGAGTCTCAATTCAAGCTGAAAACAAACACTACACTGCATTGCACACTCACATTCAGATCAAGACGCGAAACGATGGTGCTACTCTCGACGTCGACAAGTGTTAAAATCAAGTTGTCAAAAAACTTAAGCAAATAAATGAGGGAAGTCATAAGTCAGCAAACACAGAAAACATGTCAAGTGCCTGTTATGTTGCTACCAATTCCTAAACTTACTCTGGACGAGTCGCACATTATTTTTTAAATTTCCACGCATTGTTAAGAAAAAACGGAATGAGCGTTGCTTGATTTCATACTTGTGCAACCTCAGTCACCACTATGTCCGTATAGCCGCAGAAACTTGCACAGACCAAACCGAGTTGCCCGCTCACGCGTAGACTTCGATACTGCAAATCAACAAAACCCAATGTATACTGCTCAAACCATGTCGGTAGCATTAATGAACCTACAACCAACGTGTCATTCGCCATGTTACAGTTCTTCCTCGGTCTATATGCTGAACAGGTTGAGTCTTGGACGATACCGACTGCAGATAATCTACTTTAACTACCTGAAAGACAACAGAGAGCCTGATTAGGGTCAGCTAACAACAGCGATCGACAAGTCGGTAATGATCTATTACGAGATAGACGGACTACTTTGGGATGTGCATGGCTAAACCGTTTAATGCTGTGTTTCAATGCCACTACTCAACACATTATTACATTGCTGAATCTGAGCCCGTTAACGAAATAACAGATGCGTCGAAGATTCAAGGTTAAGGACACCAAATCATACAGACTTGGACATTTTCAGCATCAACGCGTTTCGCATCGACAGGATATAACTGATTATCAGGCTACTGGCCACCTCACCCATTTTTTAAAAAAATACTGTGAGGAACATGCACTTACCCATGTGAGAAATATGCAACTTCACTTCCGCCCTAGTCGCTGAAACTCGACATCTATACTTCGTATTATTGAAGAAAGGATATTCAAGAAGGACAGTAGACAGTGAACTACTAAATCCGTGCTACAACTTAAAGCTTCGTGAGAACAGATCTTTGGTGATTTTACCACACACACACGTCAGGCATATGATACAATCAGATAATACATTAACAACATTGAGTATCAGTGTGTACTACAACAATGAAACAAAGTTAGGAAGTTTCTGTTCAAAAAGTACGCCTGAAGCGACCCAGAGGAGGCGTTGAATATGATTTACAGCAACAGCGTCGAGTATAGTAATTGTGATAAGATATACACTGAAAACACCTTACGAAAATTAAATATTTGGATTAATGAACACTAATCTGAGGCCACCTCGGATATGCTAACGACTATTGTATTGCATAACAAGCCCTTTCTGAGACACCACCATTCAAACAAATGTCTGTGCTCGTTAGTAAAGGCGTCATGGCCGTTTGATCAACGAGTTCCTACATATTTTGGCGATGAAACGTCGTATGTGCAATGAATAGGAGGGGTATTTTGCTTCCTTATATAGGGCTCTAGTAGACTGATAATCACTTATAACCTGACGATGCTACGGAGTGTGTATCGAAACGCGTTGTTACTACAAGTGTCAAAATTTGCGTAGTTTGGTTTCATCAACAATGAATCGGTAGTACATCTGCCGTACCACTACTGTCGCTAATATTAGTGAAAGTATTACAAGTAATATCAACAATATTACTGCAGGCATTAGCAATAGGATGTTTGATACTATTTGTCATTCAGGTAAAATAGGACAGATAATTCCAATATTAGTGATGCTGGTATCACTAATAAAGCCATTAATATCAGCAAAGCGGCCGCTACTAATTTAGTATCAATAGAATTACTGCTGATGCCATCAATACAGCTAATAATATCAGCAGTAATATTATTAAAAGAACTAGTCACTATCAGCAAACTTACTGCTACCGATAGAAGTATTTATAGTATTACTGCTGGCATTATTGAAACTGTTAATATATAACTAATAATTACAGTAGAACTAGCATTACTGCCATTATTATTGATTTATTAGTATCAATACTATTATTATTACCATTATTACTAAGGATACTGCTTCTATTACCACAGACATTACGATAAACAATCCTACTGGTGTCACTAGAACTATTATTCCAGTTCTATTGGAACTGTTAGCAACATTACTGCCTGTATTGCCAATGAAAATGCAAATACTACCAAGAATATCAGTAGGACTGGCACTCCTACCAGTAGTGCTACTGACGTTTATCGCAATACCACAAGTGTTAGATATAGTGCTAAGGACATTACTGCATTATACATTACTAATATTACAAGTAATACTAGTAATATCATTATTAACAGTAGTAGTACTACCAAAATTACTTCTCGTATTCCAGAATATTATATCATGAGCTTCAACAGTATACCGACAGTAACATTATAAATCACACTCACAATACCAGGCTATTGATAAGGCTCACATTACCATAGAGATTACTCGAAATAATTGTTGCCCTCACTAGAACTACTATGTAAATTATAGTAGTACTGTCAATAGCATTTAGAGCATTACTGCCGCTATCAGTGATGAAACTATTAATGCTACTAAGAATGGACTAACATTAACAGAAAAAGTACTACTTATACTACCATCACTGTGATTGCCAACACTATGAGTACAACTAATATAATCAGTAGTAACAGTTCCACTAATATTATTTGTAGCATTATGGTATGGTATTATTAGTATGGTAAAACATTAGCTTCTATAATATACCGGTAGTAACACTATAAATGCCACTAGCAATGCCAGTAGGACTGGCATTACTGGAAACAATGCTACTGATACAACTGCTATCACTAGAACCACTTATAGAATTATAAGTATTATTAAGACTACTACTGTTGCTACTGAGATTGCTACTATTGAATTACTACTGCCAAACAACTAGTACTCTCAAATCAGACAATTAAAATTATGACATGATATTAAAAAATAACGATATCGGATTGAAACGGCGGAAATGTATAGTAAAAATAAATTGTATTTCCCACTGACATTATCTGCATTGTTGCACTGCCTCCTTGCTTCTATTTGCCTAGGGGGCCATTTAAGCAGGCCATACCTCCATGATATTTAAGTGCCTGCAGTGCATAGGACGCATGATCGCGTCTTTTAGTTTGGTTGAGCAAAGGCAATTCATTTTGCAAAATAATTACAAACCATAAATTTTAAATTATATCACTAACAGTTTTAATCACATTATTAATGGTATTACAAAAAGTACCAGTAATAGTATCAGCATAAACACGTAGGTCTGCTACAAATATTATTACCACTGATACTAGAATATTAATACAATGCCACCAGTAGTACAAGAGGTAAAAGTATTAATAACATTAATACTAATGGAATCAGAAACATTCATATTTTTGATACTGCTGAAATCCTAGTAATAAGCGTCAATGGTATCATAACTGGTAACACTAGTATATCAAAACATTGTCAGGAGATTTTATGGA